TTGTAAATGCCCATTGAAGTGCATACCTTATATGTGAGTTGCTGGGAGTTGATCTCAGACTTTCACATTTCATTCAACAAGTGGTTTACCTACTAAGCAATATCCTCAAGCTGGACCCCATACTTTTGAGCAGTAATCAATAACTTGTAGTTTCAGTTCCTTGATTGACAAGCTGCTGATCATGAAGGAAGTCTCCATCCTCAATTATCCTAAAGCCTCCTAAAGTCAGACTAACCACTTGTCACAAGGAAAATAGCAATTAACCCAACATAAGTCACTTAGCATGGAACAATAGCATATTTTCCTGTCATCAAGAGTTTAATATCAGCTAGAGTTGACAGTCCGTCCTAGAAGGCAAACACACTTTTGGCTATTCAGATGGCTCATGTTATACTGGTAAATTCCAATGTGTTGTTTGAATTCACTGAAAAGCTGGTTCTGGAGCCAGATTAGCCTCCCCATTTCAGACCCAAGAATTTTTAACCTGCCCTAGCAAACCTTTTATCTGGGGATAGGCTGTACCTTCTAATTCTGCAGCAAGGACAGAAGAGTACAGCAACACAGCCAAGAGTAAACACACTGAATCCTTGCGAATAGCTCGAAGGTAAACCAGTTCCAACAGACATTACTCTTGTTTATCCCATGATAGAAAAGTGTCTGTAGTAGTAAATAGAAGCCAGAAGTTCAGTCATGGAAAGCTCATTAGTGGACAGAAAGCTTAATTGGGAACACCAGTTGACTGCCCCAAATTCCCTTGTCTGTTTCTGCTGGATGCTGTGAGCCAAGTTGATGAAATTATCCCTATCTATTGTTAATTTACTTGGAAATCTCACACAAGGGGACACTCTGATCTGCAACTCCAGATGATTGCCTCAGTGGAGCTTCCCAAGTCCAGTTTTGCTAGATGTTTTGAGCTTTGGAATTACTATCTATCTGTCTGTCTGTCTGTCTATCTATCTCTATCTATCTATCTATCTATCTATCTATCTATCTATCTATCTATCT